GGCAGCCCTCCTTAAAACAAGACTCAATCTGCCCTACAGCAAGGGTGTTTCTAAAGCGCCTTCTCATTGCTCTTGCAAAATAAATCAGGTAAAGTGTTAAACAAGAATACTTACCTTATTACCTAGAGAAAGCTGATAACGTTTTGCTGTATATTCACCCAGACTTTCTTTTGGTGTGTGCACAGCATTAACTTTTTTCTCTGGAAAAGAGCTATAGGTTGACTCCACATGCTGATTTCTTTATTATTGAAGTATTTTCATGTCAGTATGCAAGGCTCAACGCCCTGTGTTTTAGTGGCTGCATAGGACTTGTCCAGTCAGTGAAAATAATGCATTGAACCGTCTTCTGTTAATGAGCAACTAACTGTGTTTCCATTTATTCACTGTCCTAGTAACATTGCGGCGAATGTTTCCATAGTTAAATCCTGTGCCGGGGAGGTGACTGCATTCAGAGTACATTCCTAGGAGTGACTGGGATTGAAGGTGCATTTTAAACTAATCTTTACTGGTAAATTGCCCTCTAGAAAGTGTACATTTTTACCAGTGTAGGTGAGTGATGAACCTGAAATTGTAATGTTCTAGCCAAAATATGGCCTTGAGCAGAAAAACCCATGGCTTCTCCCTATACAAGGCACAGTGAGCGCCCTGCGGCTCCACCCCAAACAACTTCCATCCGCTCTCCTTCCCGTCTTAGTCCCGCGGGCAGCCCGGCCCTAGCAGACCCCTGCACCTCCCCGAGTTGGGGGGTGCCCACCATCAGGGTCTCGTGTCGGGCTGGTCCGCGGTCCCTGACCCCCGTCAGGACGGCTCCCCTGAGTCCCGGGAGCAGGGCTGCCTCGAGCTCCAGCGGTGCCTGCTCAGCCGCCTTTTCATGCTGATGGACTGCTCTGCTCTCATGGCGGCGGCAGACATTCTTAACAGCAGGGCCTGGGTTCATGGCCCCACGGCTACCCTGTGGCGGTGGATCCCACAGTGAGCAGCAGGGAAGGCCTTGTCCTGAGGAAGCACATTGAGAGGCGTGTTTCCGGGTGAACCTTCGGTGGAGCCTGAAGAAATGATTCCTCCCGGTGATGGTTTCAGGCCCGCCCTGGCCTCATGCCGCAGCGTTGGCTCTGCTCTTGAGGGACATCCGTCGTCACTCGAGCTCCCATTGGCAGTGTCAGGAGGGGCAGCCTCCTCTCCTATAGCATCCCCCTCCCCCCAAACTTGCCGTCATGCGCTCCTCACTGCCGTGCAGTTTGTAGTTAAAAAGCCAGTTTCATTTCAGAACGACTTCAGGAGGGTGAATGTGGCAGGGCAGTCCTGCAAGTTAGTCTTGGCAGGGACTTCAGGTAGAAGCCAGCGGGGCCCACCTCCTGCCCATTGAAGAGATGGCCTAGTGGTCTCGTTATAGGAAGGCTCGTGTCTCTGTGGTTCGACCCTTTGATTCCCCTTTAGCCCTTGGGAGCCAACACAATACTTTTTTGCATGGTAACCCTGCAGATAGTTGAAGTTAGCTACTGGGTTTCCTCCTAGTCGTCTTTTGTAGACTGAATACCGGTAGTTTCAGTGATGAGTAAGATCAAACATTGGTTTTAATTTTGTCTAGGATGAATTTTCTTTTTTTGTTAATCCTCCCCTGAGGATATTTGTTTGAACATTGATTTTTAGGGAGAGGGGGAGAGAGGGGGAGAGACACAGAGAAACATCGATGTGAGAGAAGGGGAGAGACACATTGATTGGTTGCTTCCCGCACGTGTCCTGACGGGTTGGGGATTGACCCTGCAACCGAGGTACACGCCCTTGATGGGAATCGAACCTGGGACCCTTCAGTCCATGGGCTGATGCTCTATCCACTGAGCCAGACTGGCTAGGGCTAAACATTTACTTCAGTGAGGAAACTTGCAGATGGCGGCCTGGATTGGTTGGATCACGAGCTTGTTGGGCGGACTGGTGAGTTTGTAGACCCCCTTCCGCATGCTGTGGAGATGTGAACAGTCAGTCGGCTGGAGTTCGCTAGGTTGGTGCCCTGCGTTCTGCCTGGGGACCCATCCCGGGGGAGTTGACTGTCTGTGACTCAGTGGCCCAGGCCATCGTGTTACTCAGGTATATTTAGATGGCGTGGACGGAGGCCTGGCCAGCTCCCTTCGAGCCATTGCAGTGCAGAGCAGAAGCTGGCCAGGTGGTCGCCAGGAGAGGCTCTGTTGGCCACGTGGTCTCCGGACTTGTAAGCGGGCTCATGGCCGTGGGGCTGCCTGCACGGGGCGCCCCTCCCGTAAGGCTCTGTCTGCAGACAGGTGTGAGCCGCACTTGGCCGCGGCCCTGGCTTGCTGACCCCACCTTTACAGTGACGAGGTCTGGTACATGGAAGAAGCTGAGTCCCTAATGGCAAGAGGTCTTCTTTCCCCACCTTCATCTTCCTTTTTAAACTTTGGGGTCATGTGAAGTGACAGTGAACTGAGTGTGTCTATTCAAGTAGTTTACAGTTTGACCTTGACATACCAAAATCAAACAAAACGTGTCTTGATATTTTCCTAAGTTACATTCTTATTGGGTAGCTTTCCCCTTTTTTAGACAGAAAGTATTTTATCTCAAGCTCTTCCTTATTTTATACTATAAGTAGTTGAGTTGGAATTTAAAAAGACAAGAGGTAATGAGATACATTCCTTTTTAACAGCGCAAACTAAAACCAAAATGTGTGACGGGCAGCTAATCAGAAGACTGGTAGTAACAAACCAGTTTGTTGTGTTCTTGTAACTCCTATTTTCTATTTGGATAGAGTGTTCGCCCACCTCATCACAAGATAATCGATGTGCTTCCAGGCTAAGAAATAGCATTTTTAGTGAAATGAAACATTGCACTGCTGTTAGCAGTGAGGCCCCTGCAACACTGAGCACGTCTGCGTGGCGAGGGGAAGTGCGTGCGCAGGCGCAGGAGTAGTCGCCACAGACCTTCCACTGTCAGTGTTGGTGTGAAGAGAGTGTTTTTAGGAAATTTGTTTTAGCATAAGGTTGGTTCAGTATGGAAACAGCTTCCTGTAGGCGTGTTAAAGTCCTGGGGGCTGCAGTGTGAGCGGAGTAAACACTGTCTGACCCCACACCAGTTCCTGGTGCGCACACGTTAGCGGTGCTCGGAGAGGAAGGCTGTGGCAGTGTGCGTTCCCTTGGCTTCCTGGACGCGCTCACATGGCCCGCAGTTGTCATTCGATGCCGACTGAGCATGGGAGGTGCGTTTTCCGAGGTTCCCCTCTGCACCCCTCGGGGTGCCTGGGAGGGGTGTCCCTTCCCTCCCCGGGGTCCTCGGGCCTCCTCCCGACTTTGCTCGGCACTGTGCTCCCGCCCTCCTGCAGGTCCGCTGCCCTGACCCCAAGCAGGCATCTCTCAGAGCCCCTGCCCCCACCCCCCCCCATGTGTGTGGGTGTGTGTGTGTGTGTGTGTGTGTAGATTAAATATGTAACAATGGAACGCCGGGCCGGTAGGGGCATGTGGCAGGGACAGTAAACACAGCTGCCACATAGTTGTCGTTGTTGAAAGCCCTTCCGCCTTTCATTTCATCTGCTCACTGATGACTCGCCCAGGACTCCTCTCTCCTAACGCCCGGCTCACGTTCAGCTGCCCCTCAGGTTCTGCGCTTCCATGCTGTGAGCCCTGTACCGCAGGACCTCTCAGCTGACGCGCTGGCCCCGTCTTCCCAAGTGACCCTCAGCCGCCCTGCTGTGGCCTCTCCCTCGTCGCCGCCGCTGCCTGTCTTGCTGCGCAGAGGCCCGTCTTCCATTAGCCCTCCGGGCCGTTTCCACTTGCCTCTGTGACTCCGAGTCCTCTAGCCCCCACGTCTGTGCTCCGAGCTTCTGTGTTGAGCTTTTCTCCTCCCCCTGCCCCCTCCTCAGGGACCCCCTGCTCCTGGGCATCGGAGGCCTAGCCACAGCGGGGTTCCCGGGGTGTCACTGACCCGCCTGTTCACAGCCCAGGCTACGCCCCGAGGTCCCCCCGAGGAGCTGCGGCATCGCAGGCTCGGCGTGTCTGACACTCAGCTGCTGTCCTCACAGCTCCCTCGGGCTCCCTGGGGCCATGACAGCAACACCCTCTCCGCCTCCGTCCTCTGGTGCCCTCTTTGCCACCCCTCTCCTCCTCGGCCCATTTGACATGAGCCGGGGTTACCTGTACAGCATCTGCCAGACATTCCTGTGTGCACCTGTGCAGAGAGACCTGGAAGGGATTCATCCCAGGCAGAAAGTCTTTTATCCCTGGACGATGGGGTGATGGCGTGGGAAGGTTTTTGGTGACGGGAATTCATTATTTATATACTTGTACCCACTGTAATCTTACTCTCAACCCTGCTATCCTGACCTCCGTCTGTGGAACGCCTGGCTCCTTCCTCGTGCTCCTCACCCTCTGCCCCTCACCTGCGTACGAGCTGGTCACTCATCCTCCGCGTCTCCCACTGTCAGGAGTGACCCGCCTCCCAGCCGCCGTGCTCCCCGCCCGCGCTGCCCGTGTCGCCGCCCTGCCGCTGCCCTGCCGGGTGTGTGCCCACCCCTCTCTTAGAGGTGCGCTCCGGGGGGCAGAGGTGGGTCTCCATCTTCCCCCTTGGGTTGCGGTCTCCAGCGTTCCTTCCCGTGGCTGTGGTTTTGGTGGATGGGCTGTGTCCTGCCAAGAGGATGCGCTTCCCTGGAGCCGGAGTTTGGAGCCGTGGGACCCAGGCCCGACCGTGACCGACCGGTGCTGCTCCATCCCGGCCACGG